TGGGATTTCGGGAGGCTTCAGGGGCTGGAGACGTGGCTTTGCCCCAGGTGCGGAGGCGTGGCTGCAGGAGGATGCTCGCCTAGATCCTCAAAGCACAGCCCAGAGGGTACCATGGAAGTGGTTGGGGCAAACGCGGGCGCTGGATACGCTCACACCCGGGAGCAGTCACACCGTGGCAGCAGACCGAGCTCGTCGTTTTGTGCCTGCTTCTAGAAGCTCAAGGTATTTGTGTCCCTCCAGGTGCGGGAGGAACTAGAAGCTCAACTCAGCCGCTTCCGGGAGTTGTTGGGCAGGTCCCCCACTCACGTGGACGGGCATCAGCACGTGCACGTGCTCCCAGGTACCCGAATTGAAGCGCCCGGGTTGGGGGGAGGCTTCTTTCCGGGGTTGGTGGGAGGTCGCTGCTGAGCCCACCCCTCCAAGCAGGCGTGTGTCAGGTGTTCGCTGAGGCTCTCCAGGCGTTCGGGGTGCGCTTCACACGGCTGCCAGTGGAACGCGGCGTGGGCAGCTGCGCGTGGCTGGAAGCTCCAGCTCGTGCCTTCGCCTGCACTGTGGAGCGCGACGCCCGGGCCGACATGGGCCCCTTCTCCCGCCACGGCCTGCGGTGAGCACCGCCCTCCCCTCCCCGATCCAACCTTGCCCAGTTCCCGAAGGTCCCAGTGCGTTCATTTGGCCAGATGTGACCTTTTCTCAGCTCTGGTTCAGATTGGAACCAGATGTCCTGCTGATTGACCCTCTGCCTAGCCCTACCGGCCCTTAGGCAACACCTGGCACTGATATCCTGGCACTCACAGGTGGACCGATGCCTTTGTGGGCCTGAGCACTTGTGGTCGACATATGTCTGCTCACCGAGTCTTGGCATCACTGGCGCGGGCCTTGGAAGATACCCCTGCTGACCGCGCGCTGACTGCTGAACTGATGGCACACCCAGGATACCCCAGTGTGCCTCCAGCCGGGGGCTGCGGTGAGGGCCCCGATGCTTTCTCTTGTTCTTGGGAGCGGCTGCATGAGCTGCACGTCCTCACGGCACCCACCCTGCGGGCTCGGCTGGCCCAGAATGGTGTGCAGCTCTGCGCCATAGACGACCTGGATTCCAAAAGGCCCGGGGAAGGTGTCCCCTGTGAGGCGGCTCTGGAGCCCTTCCTGGAGCCTTCCCCACCCTGACACCAAAGGCCAGCCAGCTACGAGCTGCCTCTCTTGTGGAGGAAGGCCAGAGTTATAGCTCTGGTTCAGACTGGAACCAGGCCTTGGAGCAGGGGTCTGGCTTCCCAGAGTGACAAGTCACTAACCCTGACCCCAGGTCCTCAGGGGACCTCGAGGCTGACAGGCAAGGCGAGTCTGTGATATATGGATTTAAGGCCTGCTG